GGGCAGGGGTTGGGCGGGGTGGGTGGGTGAGGTTTTGGCTGGTTGCTTGAGGGGCCGCTTTTGCGGCTGGGCTGAGGTGTTGGCGGGTCCGAGCGTCGGAGTGTCTGTATCAGCGTGTTTGTGGGTCTGCCGTGCGCGCGCCTGCAAGCAGGGCAGCAGGGACAGCGGTTGCGCCCTTTTGCCTGCGCTGGCCTTCCAGCTCATTGCAGGCGCCGCCGCCCCCGCTTTGCTGACTTAGCTGCACTCGGCCCCCTCATCCTGCTCCCACCCTGCTCAGCTCCCCGCCCCTCTCGCCCACTAATCCTATCTGATGACATCTAACATTGTTTGATCTTTATGTCCCCACAGGCCTGCGGGAGCTGCTGGCGTCGCCCGCGGGGCGCGGCCTGCGGCAGATTGAGGTGTCCAGCTGCCGCTCCCTCAGTCGGTCATCGCGGCAGGCGGCGGCGCACGGGCTGGAGGCGCTGCGGCGGCAGCTGGCGGAGGGCGCTTGAGCCGAGGGCGCTCGTCGTGTGCGAGCTGCTCGGCGGGGGCGGCGGCGGCGGCGGCTCTCCGTTGTTTGTTGGTCCATATCTCTGTTGGTTTCATGTCGGTTTGTTTGTGGCTTACGCCTGCATGGGACTCCTTCTGTCCGACATGATCAGATTCAGACGCATTCTCTTCATGCAAAATGGTGCAATTTCTAAGCCGTTGTGTTGAGCAGTTGGGGCGCCGGAGCGCAGCGGGGGTTGCGACGTCTTGAGCGTAGGGCGCTGATCAATGCACTGCCGTAATTGGACACGTTGAATGTGCCGAAGCCCCGGCTGCCAAGCTTGCACGCATCCCGTCTTGCGCAATCCACCGCTTCTGCCGCTGCTGCTATGATAGACGAGGCACATGGGGCCGCAAATCGTCGCAACTCATGGGGCTTGACCCCGACAGAATCGCCCCACAAAAGTAGTGAGCCTCCAACCTTGATCCCGCCACAGCGAGTGACGAGTGCTGGCGCTGCTGACGTGGATTGTAAAACGCGCACGCGCACGCGTGACAACAGCCCACCGGCATTGCGATTTTTCAGCGTGCGTGTTTGCGTGGGATGGTGAGGAACAGCGCCTGTGGCTACAACATCACTACCATGCCAGCCAACCCAGGAAAGGTTGCCCCTTGTGTTTCTCTGCTGCTGCTGCCGCCACAGCAGCTATGTTGATGCCGTCTATTCATCACCATCGCCCCGGCCGCCATGCGCCCGTTTCACGGGGCTCGCGGGCGGCAGGTGGAATCCTCCAGTCTTGTTGGCGGCCTGCTTGACTGCCGCGCGCTGTGGCATCGTCAAAGTGATGGTGGGGAAAGGGGGCAGGGGGGGGGGTGCAGATACCTCAGTTCTTGGGCGCCGTTTGCGGTTTGCATTTCACGCACTTGCCTGAAAACGCAGAGGCAGATGGGTTGCTGCAAGTCAACAAGCCGTCCCACAGCTCGTCGGCTGGGGCACCGCGTCCAGCCTCCTCCCCACGCATCGTGCACGCACGCGCACGCGTGTGTGGAGTGCACCTGGGCCTGTGCGGCAATGCCCCCTGGCGGCACGCCCGTGGAGTGGCCAATCTGCTCCCTGTAGAACGCTACCTCCTGTGGGGGTGATGACGTCATCGCATGAAAGCCAGGAGGCAAAACCAGGTATAAGACGGATGAGGTGGACGGCAAATTGGTCCGGCTGGCTCTCAACCCACACCTGACGGTCACTTCCGACACCCTTATGTGCATCGCCACACCCGGCCCTGGCCGCCGGCTGCAACGGACCACTGCTGCTGCCACTCCTCGCTCTCATCTGCTGGCTGCAACTGGGCCCGACACGCAGCAGTGTGCTTGACCCGCCAAGCCCTAGGAAGTCACAAGTGCGAGTGGTCGGGACCAGCGCTGGTTGCGGCGGATGCCTGCCGACGTCGGTTAGATCCGCCCGCCTACCTCGGACTGAATTGCCGAGGCGATGTCTGTTGTCAGGGGCAGTGCGGAGATGTTGAGTGGCTCCCCCCTTTCAGCCACGGCCTGCGACAAGGCCCACCACAACATCCAGGTTCGCAGTTGGTCAGAGGGTTGAAAGCAATGCATGCAACTCCAGATGTGGTCCGCTGGCTGAGATGGGTGCGCGCAGTCACTGACCGCAGGGTTTGCAGCTGCCGGTTTTGCTCCCATTCAAGCGGTAGTCTGGTGTGGGGGTACAGTACACTGACGTACAGATGCCCCAACCGCGAAGCAGTCCGGCAGGCGGCCAACGGACACCAAAATTGGCTCAGTTTGCAGCCGTGCACGCCGCCGCGCTGCACGCCCATGCACCTGCGCCGCGCGCCCCGGGCCGCCGTCCAGCAGGTGGCCGTACACGGTCTCCTCGGCCTTGGCAACCATCTGCGCCACCTGGAGGGGGCGTTTGGCCGTCCAACGAGTCAACAACGAGTCAAGGGGGACTCGTGAGCAGCCATCCATGCAGGCAACTGCAGTGGCGTCTGTTTAGCTTGGACGCTGCGAGCCGCCGACCCTTGCGCAAACCGACGCCGGTGCGTTGGGGCGCATTCGCGGGGACGGGCAGTGGCGTCGCAGCTCGAGGACTGTGAGGCATGCGTGCGGCGTGTTGTGCACACCTCTTGGGGGTTTGAGGGGTCCCGCACCGCCTGCTGCTTGGAGGGGCTGCTGGAGGGCGATGCCGCGCCGCCGGCACCGGCACCGGCACCGACGCCGTGCGCACGCGCGTGGAGCTTCATTGTGCTGCTTGAGTCAGGGTTTAGACCGGAGGACTTGGGATCACGGTATGAGAACAACTTGTTCTGGGATTATGATGGGTCTTTTCCAAGGAACAAGGCGTGGTTTCATGGCGGTTGCTACGGCTGAGCGTGCTGTCCAAGGTTGTGACGTCACCAAGAGGCAGCGGCCTGCAAACAGAGTATCCCACCCAACGCAACCTTGGTGATTGGCCAACTGATGGGTGCGGATTGATGGCCATGTTTTTGTCGATTGTGTGTTATTCCAGGCGTACCTGCCTGGGTCAAAGCAATTATCATCGCCCAGAAGCTCGCATTAAAACGCACGGGCAGGGGGGTTGGCTGCACTGCTGCAGAGCACAACCCTAGCGTCCAGCCTTCTCCCAGGATTGCATATTATTTGGGGGGGGGGGGGGGGGGGGGGAGGCGGCGCAGGACATCCCTCAATGGGCACGCCGCATGCAGCCCAACAAAGTGCCTGCCTGGCAGCTGGGTGAGCGGAGTGCCGCAAACTGCTCGCCCCAAAGGCGTACGCATGCAGCATAGCTTGTCCTCGTGCTTGCACAGTTACGGTTGATGTAGCTTTTAGCTTCCTCTGTTATATAGTTGATAGGCGAGGCAGCCGCACCATGGTGGGCACGGTCGCCTGCGAGTGGCGGTGTGCTTGCATGTGTCGCTGTGCAAGTCCGAATCTTATTTTCATAGGTTTCTTTTCCTGCGGTCTAGGTGCCGCTCACCGCTGCATCGTTCGTCGCGTCGTCTCGCTTTCCTTTACAGGATCAGCCAGCCAAGCTCGCCATTGTGATGAAGGTCATCGGTCGCACCGGTTCACGTGGCCAGGTGATGCGCGTGCCTGCGCGTTGATGCCGCGCAGCGAGTGAGTGCGCGCTGCGGCACGCAGCGGCAGCGCGCACGCAACTCCGTATGCGACACCGATATTCAGAGGCAGCTCGCACCAGTCGCTTGCAATCCCTTTCTTACTTCTTAGGTGACTCAGGTGCGCGTCAAGTTCCTGGACGATCAGAACCGCCTGATCATGCGCAACGTCAAGGGCCCCGTGCGCGAGGGTGCGCGGTGGTGCCTGCACTGTTTTGGGTGGTGCGGTTACATGACGCGCTTGGCGTGCTTACAGCAGCGGCCGCTTTGGCACCGCAGCGCAGCCGCCTGGTGATTGGGAGCCTGGCAGGCGTCTGGTCGGGTTGCGGAGCTGGGGGGGAGGGGGGTTGGTGAGAGCAGGGCCTCAGCCAGGCAATGAGCAGGGGCTGCAGGTTGCTGGGCTGTCGGGTGGGTGCGCAGCCGCCGGCAAGCCTCGTGGGATCCAGCAGCAGCTTGGCGCGACGCCGGAGATGCAGGGCTATGGGGCTCAGCTGGCTCTATGATGTCGTCTGGCACAGCTGCAGCAGACGGGCTGCAACCTGCGCTGCACCCTGACCGCGGCACCGCCACCTGAGCCCCCGTTGGGGGGAGGTTCAGGGCCCCAACGTTTGCGACCTCCGCTGCTAGTAGGGCGAGCTGCGGCCGCGCAGGCGTCATCACAAGCGGCAGGGCCGCGACGATAGCCCACTAGGCCGTGGGCTGAACCTATGCAGCGGATTGCGCCGTCGCATCCAGCTCATTGCGCACTGCTTGTCCAACCCCACTTGCGCAGGTGACATCCTCACCCTCCTCGAGTCGGAGCGCGAGGCCCGCCGCCTGCGGTGACCTGCCCCGCCCTTTTATAACTACACCTGACCCTTGGCGCCGCCGGGATTGCGCGCTCAGGCCTGACTTGCGAGTAATCGGGCACGGCTGACAATGTTCAAACCAGGTGCTGCAGGATGACCTGGCCGGGCAGTTCGAGCCCGATGTCGGGCCCGAAGCTGCTGCCAGTGGCCATTTTGGAGCCTCTGCGGCCTATCAAGGCCGAAGTCAGCCTTAGGTCTGGCCGATCAAGGCTTTGAGTGGTCACCGCTGCTCAGCACGCAGCTCTGCCTCTGGACCCCTTCCAGGGCAGCAGCCCCCAGGACACGCCAAGGGCGAGGCCGGGCGCGTCCGAGCATCAGTACGGGGAGGGCAGGGGTGATCCTCGAAGGCTGGGTCGGCACCTGAGCACAACCATCAAGCTTCCTGCGACACGATTCGCTTTGATGAGATGCTGCACCACCCTGCCTGTTATACAATTTTCTCAGACGCAGAGATGTTGTGAAAACGTCTGTTTGTGTTACATACTTGCACAAGCCAAAAAAGAGTGAAGCAGTCCAAAAGGTCAACAGCTGGCCTCGTCCAAGCACGCGCCAGCGCCAGGCAACTGTCTGCTGCTGGCACGGAGAGAGGCACAGCAAGGCATGGTGGGGCTGAGGGGCCAGCCGTTGGTGACGGGTGCACGGGCGTTGATATTCCCTGTGATGTTTGGGGATGTTGTGGTGCGCCGTGCGACCTCGGGGCGATACAGCACTGTGCATAAGCTCGAGTCTGCTGCAGACGGCGGCGGGCCGACAGGCTCAGTTGTCATCGGCTCGCTGGCCCAACGCGTGCATGTGCGGGTGGGCGGGGTGCAGACGACCCAAGCGGAACCTCTGGCGACGAAACAGGGGCGGGCGGCAGTGGCCTCTCAGCGCTGGCCGCCTTTGTTCGCTCCTGGCGTGCTGCAGGCCGGGCAGAGGTGTGGCAGCGCTGGTGGCCTTGCCCGCTGCGTGTGCAGCTGCTTCTTCTCTTGTCCCTCGGCAAAACTCAAAACCAGTGGCGACACTCAACAATAGGTTCTCTGGCCTTGAAGCGGGTGTCGTGAAGACCGCGTTTCTCAAGGGTGGTTTGAGAGGACCAAAGCGCCGTCGGTGCACGCGCGCCCTCCCGTGCGCTCTCGGCACAGGGCCTTTGGGCGAGCGTGCTGCAACGGCGGCCCCAGCGCTCCCCTGCAGCCCTGTGACACGTTTGGAGCTGCCAGCACCGCCCTCGCCTGCGCAGCGAGCGTGCCGGCTGCCCCGAGGATCAGCCTGTTTACACCGGCCCTGTGGGGGCACGAGCAGGGGTGGGCGGATCGGCGTTGGGTTGGCCGGCCACCAACGGGCTGCACGGCACTATGGGAAACGCGGTCAACGGCGGGGATGGTTCCCATGTCAGGAAGGCTGCTGTGCAGGGGCCCGGCTGCACGATGGCTATGCACCGTGCATCATATGCAACAAGCAGGCGACCGCTGTTGCGCGGTGGCGGCGCCCTGCTGCTCACCGTCCGTGTTCATGACCTTGGGGGACAGCAGAAGGCGGGCCATGGCCGGAAACAAGACACGGGGCGCGGGCCAGTGAGGGTGTGGACAGGGGAGTGAGTCCATACATTAAGCTGCATCCCCGCCGTGCGCACCTGGACGGCAGCTGTCGCAATGCGCATTCGACTAGGCCTCAGTGCTGGTGGGCCTGCCGAGCTTGTGCAGCTCCAAGCATGCAATCCCTCCCATTGACAGCGCCGCCTGAGCAACCCTCGACAACAGCTGCTCCATTTGCGTTCCGCTGCCCCTGCATGCGTGCCGCCGCCCCCAAAAACGTGCCGCCGCCCCTATATGCGTCCCCCCGCCCCACCCTGATGTACTTGTCATAGTTGACAGCCGCCAACTCAAAGTCCCCCATCTCGGTGTAGCAGTCGGCAATGGTGCCGTACTGTGGGTGACATCAAGGTGACGTCATGCGTAGACGGGTCGAACAACCCAGAGCAATCAGGGTTTGAGGGAGCAGAGCGGATGGGTTGGGGCGGGTTCGCGAGGCGCGTGCAGGGCATGCTGCCTGCAGCAACGCACACCCCCTGCTCAGGTGGTTGAAAGTCCACAGCTGGTGCTTTGAGCGGCTGGGCTGTCACCCGCGACACAGCGGGAGGGGGCGGCACGCCCCACACTCACCGCGTCTGCGTCACCGGTGAACTCCTTGATTTCCCGCGAGATCTCCAGCACCCGCTCCAGGTGCTTGATGGCCGCCCGGTACTGGCCCTGGGGACGGGGATGCGTTGGTTCGGGTTAGCCGTGCGGGGTTGGGCTGGGCAGCACAGGGTCGCACAAGGGCGTGAGGCGTTCAATGAACGAGTTGAGATCGAGCCGGATAGGGCCACGCCGGCGGATCAGTCAGGGGTGGCAATCGTTCACGCATCAGTTGCTTCTATTTGCTGTTGCCGCTGCTGCTGCTGCTGCTGCTGCTGCTGCTGCTGCTCATGCTGCTGCTGCTGCTGCTGCTCATGCTGCTGCTGCTGCTGCTGCTGCTGCTGCTGCTGCTCATGCATGCAGAGCGGAGTACCCCCACTGCCGCGGCCGGCCGCGTGGGACGCAGCAGTGGGGCCCAAGACGGGGAGGGGGTTTGCTGTAAGTGTGCCGCCAGCGGCGCAAGCTGCGCACCTGCAGGCGCGCCGCAGCAGCCAACCCGCGCATAGCCCGCCGCTCCTGAACCTGGTGGGTGAAGCCGAGCCCGGGATGACCCAGAGGGGCGGGGTCAGGTACGCAGGTGCTTCTTGAAATGCAGTACAACCAGTATGTCCCTGCACCCGGCTTGATGCTCTTGTTCCCGCCATGACGTTCCCGCAGATCATCGCAGCACCAGCGATTGCGGGTCGCAGCACCCGGACGTGCCACTCAGATCATCCAGATCACCCAATATCACCTTGTCGCTCAACACCTTGGACAGCATCAGCGCCTTCTCAAACCGCACCAGGGCGGCGGCGCCGTTCTTCTCCTTGAGCAGCCGCTTGCCCGAGCGCAGGGAGTCCCTGCGCGTAGCATGGGGCGCAAAGACGGGTTCCCAAGTCATCGCACCGCGCTGCATGGATGCAATGGCGGCTGGTCGACTCCAACTGCATACAGAGGCTTGGGGCGTGGGCTTCCATGCCGGGTCCGCATGTAACCAACGCCCCTGCGTATGAGTGCATGGTGCCTCCCCGACGGCGCCGCGCGAATGCACAGCCTGGCTCTCCTAACGCAGCTTCCCGGCAGCTTCCCAGCCTGCCCCGGCACCTGCACTGGATCTGCTCGGGCGACATCTCGTCGTCCTCCATCGATAGCAGCGTCCGCTGCTCCGGTGCCGCCGGCGCAGCCTTGGGCGACGCAGGCCGCGGCGGCGGCGCG